CCCCCAGAATTGGAAGCAGGAGACTTTATGGCCACAGGAGGAGAGAGGGGCTTTGCCACTGCTACTGTTCACTTGGGAGTTGGGCAATTAAATCCAGAATTCCCTTCTGTCCACTGGGACATGTTGCCTTCCCTAATAATCCAACAGGTGTTTTCTTTTAAAAATAGTTATCCGTACTGCTCAAGAAGTGGCAGGGTGTAGTGGATTTCTTCTGGCAAAAATCACTGCAAAATCATCGGTCCCTGACTATTGTGTGTAATGGCTAGATGAAACTTCCATGTGTAGAGGCAGTCTACTTTGGAATCATGGATGGATGCCAATGGGACCTCTTTGACTAGGCGAGCTTCCTAGAGGGATCTTGGGTGCTGCAGAAATTGAGTTGGGGGTTTCTGGGTCTTTTCTACCAAACGTGAAGGTCTTTGGGGACGCTAGGATTCCAGTGATGGGTTAGATGATGTGAATGTGGCTGCACCCAAAAATGGGGGTGCTTGCTTCGTAACGTTCTTTGGTATTCTAAGTGTCACTGAAGTAGGTGAGATGCAAGATCAGCCCAGGTTTTGATACTCGGTTCAAACTGAAGATAGGAATAATTTGAGAGAGTCGAAGGGGGGAAACAGTTTTCCAGCAAGTCGGAATGAGACCTGTGAGTTCCCTGGGAGAATTGGAAAGCTGGAAAGGAGGTTGGCTGGGGGCAGCTGGGGGGATTGGTCCAATGCTGGATGGCCAAGGATGGCGATGAAACCAGGGGAAGATTGTTCTTGGGAACAGGGTGTTTGTGAGTAAATTTGCAGTGGGTATTTTGGAGAAGGGTTAAAAAGAGGAAGCAACAGGATTGCTTATCATGGACCGTTGGCTGGCCCTGAATAGTAAGGTTAAAAGTATTATAAAAATCCATCCCCCTTGGTCTACCCAGCGCCAGCCCATCGCTAAAGCAAGCCAGCAATGTAGGCTAGTGGCCATTCACGCTGCAGCCTTCCCCCTGTTTCCCCAGAAGAAGGTCTGGTTCTCTGGCACTTGAGTTATGATAAAGCCTTGGACCTCAGATGCTCTGCCTGCAGCTAGTGGTTACATCAGCATTCATTGATTGGGAATTGCAGTTAGAGGAGTGACTGTATCCAAATTCATTCATTGGGACCACGCCCTCGTGGACGGGACCAAGACAGCATTCAAAAGGATGCTCCTCGGAAAGAGGAAATGGTTAGGGTTAGAAAAGTTGCTCCTGGCTGATCTTAATGGACGTGTCTGATGTAAATCAAAAGCTTGGGCTTTAGCTG